CGGCAACTGGTCCTGGACCCTGTTGGGGCTTTCCTCACAAACTTCCCATCCCGAGCTGCTTTCTGACTCTCCCGGGGCCCTGGGAGGCCCAGGGGGCCTAGAAATAGCGAAAAACCTCCAGGACCCTCAGGGGCCTGGAAACCACGAAACACCTCCAGCACGCCCTTCCCCGCAGGAACCCTTCGGTGGCAACTCGTGGAAATCTCCTATGCCATCTTGCTGGCTCTTGCGAGTCGACACGAATCGAGGTCAACCGACTCGAAATCGACGCTAGCTGAATCGACGCGGATCGACAATAAATCAGCGCTCTCTCATGCGAGTGTACTCTGGAGACGGACTTGCGAGGACACACAAGACTCCCGTGACCTGATACCGAAGCGCCGCTCTCGTTCCTGGCGACATCTGCACTCCGATACCTCCATTTCTTGGCGGCGCGCACAAAGGGGGTGGAGGCAGGGGGGAGAGCTTCTTCGAAGGAGGCTGCTTCTTAGAGAAGGCGCCAGAGCTACATCTATAGATGAGGCCCGCGCCTTCAAAGAAGCGGGGGTGCCTCTAAGAAGCCCTCCCCCCCTCCTCCCTCCCCCCTTCCCCCCTCCCCCCTCCCCCCTCCCCCCTCCCCCCCTCCCCCCTCCCTCCCTCCCCCCCTCCCCCCTCCCACCCCGTACACCCCCTCTCGCGTGCCTGCCTCCCCCCCCCCGCACGAGCCCAGAAGCGGTCGCACGAGGAGGCTCCGCCAGCCGGTGCCGGAGGCGGCGCTCCTGCTGCCGGTGGGCGCGGTGGGGCGGGTCTCGATGGGGGTCTTTTTTCCACCACCACTGAGCTGGAGGGGAGGGGGTCCTCCTCTTCCTCCTCCTTCTACTCCTCCTCCTCCTCCTCCCTCCTCCTCCTCCTCCTCCTCCTCCTCCTCCACCTCCTTTCCCCCCTCCAGCTTATAACAATGGTGAAAAGCCGGCTCATCAGGTTTAGGGGGGGGGAGGGGGGCGCAGGCAGAGTAAGACGAAGCTGGGAAGATAAATCCGGGTGAGGATGAACAATCGATCATCTCTGAGATCCCGCGGCCTGGAGGACGTCTCGGGCGCCGCGGCCTTCTCGCAGCGTTCCAGTGCGCTCCGAGACCGCTCGGGGCTGCGCAGGACTGGACTTTGTCCTCGTCCCGGCCCCGTTCGGCAGGGGCGCCGCAGTGCCGAGGAACGAAGGCAAACGCGCGCGTGAGCGAGTGGCAGCCGCACGCGCTGGCGCGTGCGCGGGGGAGGCGGGCAGGAGGGGCTGGGTGAGGAGGGGGTGGGGGCGGGCGGGCCTCTCGGGGCAACCCCTTGGGCTGTCTCGGGGCCGTCGATGCGGGGGGGGCGAGAGCGGGGCCACGAACGAACGGGCGACGAAGACGGGAGGCGCGCATGCCCCTGGCCCTTGCACGAGGGAGTGGCGAGGGACAGAGTGGGGCAGGGTGACAGGGGGGGGGGGGGTCGCTAGATACGTAGGGCCGACCTGGGACGCAAAGGGGGACTCTCTCTGGACGGCCCCTGGCGGCGGGAAACATCAGCCTCAAGCCGGGCTCGTTCCCTTTTCCAACCTTGGGTTATCCCCCCTCCCCCATTACGCACCCTCGAACTGGTAGACATGGGTGGGGGGTTGGAAGGGACGCGGGGGGAGACCAACGAACGAGCGGACGAAGACGAACGACCAAGGCAAAGGGCTCCGAGCCCGAACATGTAAGCAGCAGCGCAGGAGACTAAAGGGCTCCGCGTCAGGCGAAGGGCGCCAAGCCGGTTGGGGCTGGCCCAGATGGCCAGCCGGCTTGCCACCATTCTCCTACTTTTCTTCCCCCCCCCCCTCCTTCCACCATCATCCTCATCTTCCCCATCTTCCCCCTCACTCAGATCTTCCAGATCCCCCGCCTATAACAATCCTCCCCTTCCTCCTCTCTCCTCGTCTTCCTCGTCCTCCTCCTCCTCCTCCTCCTCCTCCTGCTCCGACCTCCTCCTCCTCCTGCTCATCCTCCTCATCCTCCTCTCCTCCTCCTCCTCCTCCTCCTCATCCTCTCGTCCGCCTCTCTTGTTCATCCTGCTGTTGCTCCTCCTCCTGCTCCCCTCCTCCTCCTCCTCCTCTTCTTCATCCTCTCCTCCTCTTCCTCCTCCTCCTCCTCCATCCTCCTCCCTCATCATCATCATCATCATCAATCATCATCATCATCATCTCATCATCATCATCGACCCGTCGGGGGCATCATCATCACATCATCATCATCATCATCTCATCATCTTCATCGTCATCATCCTCATCCTCATCCTCATCCTCACCTCATCCTATGCTCAACCCTCTCCTCATTCTCACAACGCTCAGTCTCCCTCTACTCTTGCTCCTCCTCCTCCTCGTCCTCCTCCTCCTCTTCCTCCTCCTCTTCCTACTCCTCCCTACCTCCTCCTCCTCCTCCTCCTCCTCTTCCTCCTCCTCCTCCTCAACTGTTTCTTATTATCCTTCTTATTCTCATTATTATTATTATGCTTCTTCTTTTTCGTATTATGATGATTATTCTTAGTACTAATTCTCCTCCTCCTCCTCCTCCTCCTCATCCTCCTGCTCGCCTACCCCTCCCCTCCTTCCAATCCTCCCCCCCATCCTCCTCTTCCTAGTCCTCCTCCTCCACCTCCTCCTCCTCATCCTGCCCCTCCTCCTCCTGACCACCACAACCACCACCACCACCACCATCACCATCATCATCATCATCAGCATCGTCATCATCATCATCATCATCATCATCATCATCATCATCATCATCATCATCATCATCATGATCATCATCATCATCATCATCATCACCATCATCATCATCAGCATCATCGTCATCATCATCACCATTATCATCAGCATCATCATCATCACCACCATCATCATCAGCGTCATCAGCATAATCATCATCATCAGCAGCATCAGCGTCGGCATCAGCATCAGCATCATGATGATGATCAGCAGCATCATCATCATCATCATCATCATCAGCGTCATCCTCCTCCTCCTTCTCCTCCGCCTCCTCCCCCTCCCCCTCCTCATCCCCCTCCTCTTAGTCAGCAGCATCAGCATCAGCATCATCGGCATCATCATCCTCATGATCATCATCATCAGCAGCAGCATCATCAGCATCATCATCAACACCATCAGCATCATCATCAACAGCATAACCGTCAGCATCATCATCAGCAGCCGCATCATCATCATCAGCATCATCACCGTCATCATCATCATCCTCATCATCATCCTCACCATCATCATCATCATCATCATCATCATCATCAGCATCGTCAGCATCGCCATCACCAACATCAACATCATCAGCATCCTCGTCATCATCATTGTAATTATCATGCTCAGCAATGTCAGCATCATCATCATCATCATCATCATCATCATCATCATCATCACCAACATTATCATCAGTACCATCGTCTTCGCCATCATCATCATCATCAACGTCAGCAGCAGCATCACCATCAACGACATCATCAGTATCAGCATCATCATCGGTATCATCATCATCAGCATCATCAGCATCAGCAGCAGCATCCGCATCACACTCAGCATCATCATTATCGTCGTCCTCGGCATCAGCATCATCAACAGCAGCATCACCATCAGAATCATCGGAATCATCAGCATCATCGTCACCATCATCAGCACCCTCATCAGCATCATCAACATCATCATCATCAGCATCATCCGCATCATCAACATCAGCATCATCGTCCTCGCTCCTCATCGTCATCAGCATCACCATCATCATCTGCAGCAGCAACAGCGTCATCGGCATCATCAGCATCATCGGCATTTGCATCATCGTCATCACCTCCATCAGCGTCACCATCATCATCATCATCATCATCATCATCATCATCATCATCACCATCAGCATCACCATCAACAGCATCATCACCATCAGCAGCAGCATCGTATGCGTCATCATATTGTCCATCGTCATGAGCATCATCGACAGCATCATTTTATCAACATCATCATCAGCATCATCACAATCATCAACACCATCATCAGCATCATAGGCATCAGCATTGTCATCGTCATCATCATCAGCAGCATCATCAACATCATCAGAGTGAGCATCATCATCATCAGCCGCATCATCGTCAGCATCATCAGCATCATCATCACCATCATCATCAACAATATCAGCATCAACGTCATCAGCATCATCATAATCAGAGTAATAGATTATCCCCCTCCTGGTCCTCTCCTCGACCTCAACCCCTCCCCCTCCTTCCCATCCTCCCCCTCCTTGTCCTCACCCTCATTGTCCTCCTCCTCCTCCTCCTCCTCCTCCTCCTCCTCCTCCTCTCCAGCTCCTCCTCCTCCCCCTCCTCCTCCTCCCCCTCCTCCTCCTCCTCCTACTCCTCCTCCTCCTCCTCCTCCTCCTCCTCCTCCTCCCCCTCCTCCGCTGCACACCTCCTCCTCCTCCTCCTCCGCCACTTCCTCCTCCGACGACGACGCCGACGACGACGGCGGCGGCGGCGACGATAACGACGGCGTCGACAGCGACGCCAACGACGCCCTGGTGTCCGGCGCTGGCGTCGCCATCGCCGCCGCTGCTGGCCGCGCGGCGCATGGCGGGCGCCTGGCCCTCAGCCCTGAAGCCAGGCGGCGACGGCGGACGACGGCGCCGACGACGGCCAGCGGCAGCGGCGTCAGCGGCGATGGCGAAGGGGAAAGGGCGACAAAAGGCCATGGCAAGGGCAGCGACGACATGGAGGCGGATGAGAAGGAGACGAACGTGACACGGGGACCTGGCACCAACGAGGAGGAGGAGGAGGAAGAGAAGGAGGAAGAAGAGAAGCACCACGTGGCCTTGGCGCAGCGTCTCAAACGCGCCGAGGCACCTGGCTAGCAGGCTAGCCGGCTGGGAAGAAGGAATTGATCAAGGAGCAGATGAGGGGTGGCCTCCGCAATGCATTCTGACAACCCACATCCTCGCCAGCGGTGGCGAACGTCTCGCCGTG